ATGTGATTGTCAGAAACCCAGTCACTAACCACTGGGTTAAAATGGCTTGTTACATAGTGGGTAAGTGCGCCCATAACCCCCCAGGCCTGTGGCCCTTCTCTGAGGATCTTTTCAAGGGTAACCCAGCGGGTCACTCGACAGTGATATGCTCCTCGGCCAACGACTCCAAGAAATTGAACCCTTAGGTTCAATTCTCCAGGAACACGCACGTCACAGATGACGAACAGGTGTTCGTCGTCTGCACGCAAGGCAAAGGCACTACCGTAGGCGAAAACGCAGGCGGAATCGAAGGCGATTAGGCAACGGGCACTACGAAAGCGGAGGAAAACTCAATGGCGGAAACGTAAACAAAAAGAAAGGCAATTGCGACGACGAGGCAGAACGGTTAATGGAAATTGAGAAGTCATATCGATAAGCTAAAGCAGTAAGGATACCAACAGATCTGACGAGAATTCAGAAAACAGAAACATACGAAACCTGAAGGGTGCCGAGAATTGTGACAACGACAGTCGAATCAACCCCAACACCTGTTCCATCGTGGCCAAACGCAAGCATAACGGGGAAGATGAAAACATAAAACAGAGAATGAATAACTGAAAGGGAGAATAACGGAACACAAGGGACGCTGACGATGGAACATGAATGAAGGGAATGAGCAAATAAGGAAGAGAATAATGAAATGACATCAAGTCCTAGAAAAGATTCAGCTAGAGGTACACACGGTATGGAGACGAGCTAGGGACCAAGAAACGATGCGGGAAGTAGGAAGAGAAACCAATTCTTGAAACCCTAGTGAGAAGAGTCGAAACCGGAAGTTTGTGTGGAGGCAATTTAAAATGACACTTGAGAGGCAGGCTCGGCGATTGCTGTCAGAAGCTCGACGTTTCCCGACACGCAAGCTTGCACGAATTAGAATGTGCCCTCAGTAGTTGCATCTCATAAACAGTTATCATCTAATGTAGGATTTTGCTACATGGTATCCTGTTGCAATTTTTTCCCATAAAAATAGGTTTTGAAGAAGTGATTTCTTTTAGGACCACCTATTTGTGTTTTTCGAAAAACATGCACAATGTTTGGTTAGGGTTAGCTGTTGTGGTAATTGTGTGTCATGCTTTTGTAACACTCGGTGTTACTCTGTGAAACCATCAACATTCGCGTTTTTCGTCTTGCTCGCTATTTGCCGGTTTCGCCACTGTGTTGCCAGCATCATTCTGCCCAATGGGGTGGGGTACGTTGTCTGCGTTTGTCATATGGCGCCAATTTTCCGCTGCCTGTTTTGTTTGTGTGTGTCGGGGCTGAACGGTTGTTTTGTCGCCTGCGCACTGTTCTGCGGTTTGTTTACATTGTAGGCGCTTCGTCACTTCAGCATTTGACTCCACGGAGATGCCACAGGATGGCAAGCCTTTCCCGAGGCTGCCGATAGGTTGTTAGCGTGGTCTCGGTATACACGCTCACCCTAATCCACTCCCGCATGCGCTGTAGGTACACCCTCGGCTAGCGGATGGAGTACCTACAGCGTGGCCAGTCCCAAACCACTTTGTGGCTTGGTACTGTTTCCCGAGAATCTTGGCGGGTACGCGAAGGGGGTATTTGCGAATTTTGGGCAGTGCCCACAAATCTTTTCATACTTTCGTGGACAGCCCCTACTTTCACGGACACCACATCAACCTTTCGCTTATCCCGTGGACTCCGTCCCTACTTTCATGGACATCCGCCTTACTTCCATGGACAAGGTCGAAATCGCAGGAAATAGGCAAAAACTCAACTGTACAAAAAATGACGGGCGCTGAAAAAAAAAAAAAAAAAAACAGCGGCTCAGCGTGCGTCGCAAAGAGTCGCACGCTACAGTGCCCCAAACCAAAATCCGAAACAGAATCTCACCTTTACAGTATTTCCATCAATTGTGACCATTTCCCGAGCAGAGAAGGCAATGCCACATCAGCAATGCTGTGGAAACATTTCTGAAGCCTACGGAAAGCTAAAATGTGAGGAAAGCCAGGCGAATAAGGTAGGGGCTCACCCCTCATACTATTCGGGTTTCTCCAGCATACTCACGCACGCTGCCTCACACGCCTGTCTCTATGTAGTCTACGTAGACTTCTACAGAAAGTTAGCTACGTACATACCAAGACCTGTTCAGTTATTTATCAGCGGGAATAATAGTTCAGTTTTTACAATGTCAGTGCACGACGCCCAGACGGAGATGCTTGCAGCAACTCTTGAGGCAATGGATTCTGATCCAACTCCAGAACCGCAATGCAACGTAGACGACAATTCCCCCATAGAAATCGGGAACTTCTACACATCTAACGAGGCCGTAATCAACGTCCTTTATGATTTTGCTTTTGTGCATCGCTTTGGTTTTGCTATGAGTTATAGCAAGCCAACCCGGGCTAGGGCAGTGTGCAAATCGTCTGAAGAACGTGGTGGCAAAAAATGCCCGTGGGAGTGCACTTTTAGTGTCTGCCGTACGGGGGGCTTTTGGTTGGTGAAAAAGTTAAGTCCTGCGAGTGTGCACACCTGTGACTGGCCGGACAGGGAACACTACGTGAAATCTATGGTGAACAAAGTAAAATTCCTCGAACGCTTGTACGGAGCACTTGTCGGAGGGGCGCCGTTTCTCGCTCTGCGTGAGTACATCGACCAGATCGTGGCAACTGGGGGGCCTTCTATCAAGTATCAACAAGCATACAGGTGAGATTGACTTGGCATTTCAAATGTCACCAATTATACTATGTACTTCCCACATACCTTGATAGCCATGGTTTGAATGCAAGTCAGTTTCAACCCTTCTCGATCCATCCCCGTCCACTAAACAGATTGAAGGAGAAGACCGTTACTCAACGGTTTGGCAGTTGGAGAGACTCCTTCAGGTTCATTCCTTCACTCCAGAGATGTTTGAAGCTTATTGATCCGGGTGCCACTGTCAGGCTGCAAACATATCAGCATCAACATCGCAAAAAATGCAACGTTCGCAGATCGTTTTCACCATTCGAGCTCGGGCATAAAATCGGAAATCGTCCGCCAAGTGTTCGCAAAATGTATTTTTCTCGTTTCTTTGCACGTAAATGATTCGCGAGTCTTCTGCAGATGAGATGTTATGCGAATGAGTTGTTTTGTGAATGTTACACCTGAATAATAAACATGTTTTGGTGGCTTATATTTGCATAAATGATTGGTTTTTGTACACTAAAACTTCTACAAAGTTTGTAAAATTATGCATAAGTAACCGAAATATTATAATAGATAAAATATGTGCAATTCGCAAAAAAAACTAACTCAACCCAACCCCAACCAACTCAACCCATATCTCACACGCCATTCGATGTTCGGCGAGCCCTGTAACCAGGCTGGGTTACGCAGCTCCAATGGATTGCGAAACTCAGATACCACGTCCTAACCCTATGCACCACGAGGAAATTTAACAACCCCCTCGGGCATCAAAAGGGGCCATGCGCAAACAACAATCGCAAGCCCAACCCACAGCCTGCTCCCTTGACAGCAAAAACGACTAAGGGAAAGATGGTAGCAGATCTCGAATTCGGGATCTGTAATTTGCACGACTTGCCCTCGTTTCCTCCTAGATCCATGCTCATGCGTAGCCATGCTAGAGAGTTGGTAGTGACTTATAAGATAAGATCGAGGTGACACCGACGTCAGGCTAGTAAACACGGATATCAATTGAGGTTCCTATTGGTGCATATTCGTTTGCACGTCATCCTGTCGTCTGTTCGCATCATTTCGTTGCATGTGTTTTGTGTGCTACGTTGTTTGTGTGGTTTGTTGGGTTTGCATGTCTTTGCATATTCATCTTGTGCTTGTGCAGATGTGCTTGGATTGTACATCAGATCGAGCGCATTCCAACGAGCCAAGAATTGTTGGAATCGGAGCACATATGAAGAAGTTACGAAGAAATGTTTGATGGATTTGTTACAACTCATTGGAAGTCCTTGGCAGCTGCTACACCAAAGTTGGAGAGCCCTAAAACGAGGAGGGACCAGCATGTGTGGGACTTTTGTCCCCACCTTGCAGCTGCAGCACTTGGGGTTTGGAGACCAACCTGGCACAGTGTGAATTTTGTCTTGTCAGGCTGGCTGAACCTGAGGATGGGAAGTCAAGACTTTGACTCTTGTCATGTTCTTGACCAAGGGCCTCCAGGGTCCTTCCCTTTCATCCTTCCCTTCCCACCCCACCTTCCAACTATGCTTCAATGCCTTTTCCATTATGTCTCTGAACTTGTAAGCTTCTATCATAGTGACTCTGAGGACTGTCAATTTCTCCTAGGGCAGATTACCCCCCAGTGCGCCAAACGCCATAGCTCACTCGATAAGCTACGGAATCGAGTGATTCAATTTTCAGTGGAAAGCTGACGCTGCAAGCTACAACATATCCGATTTTCAGATCGTTTCATCGATTGGAGTTTTGGATATAGCTTTTCGAAGGTCGCGAGTTTTCTGGGCGTCATAACGAAGTGCTGCAGAAATTTCTAAGGAGCCATTGAATCATCTGCTTATAGCCTTCTCTAACCAACAAGTGGTATCAGAGCCCATTATCACCCATTTAGGACCTAAATTACGATGGGAGATAAGGAGGACTCTGGTGGAGGTGATACTTCAGTCCAAGGAGGCAGCTCAACCCAAGATTCTGGCATTGCAGCGCAAAGGGGAGCGCGTACAAGCCAGGGGTCACTGCTTAAGGAGGTGCTGAAGAACTTCACCATTGAGAAGTTCTCTGGAGATGGCTATGATGATTGGGCATGGAAGATGCAGCTCTACTTTCGACAAATTGGCCTCTTGAAGCTCATGATTGGAACGGAGCCCAGGCCAAAGGAAATGGCAGAGCAAGCGGACTGGGATGAACGTTCATCTGCTGGGTATTATCTACTGTCACAAAGCTTGGAGCTGAACCAGAGGCATCACATCATGCATCTGCTACCGGAAACTGATTGTGGGCCCAAGGCATGGGCAGTGCTCAAGGACCTGCACGCTCCGACATCGGTTGCCGCTTCTCTCATGCTGGATCGGGAGCTGTCCATGCTGCGGTTGAGCGAGAATGAACCTGTGCAGCCCGTTCTGGACAAGATGAGGGAACTCTACGCGAAATTGGCGATTGCGGGCATCACGTACCCTGAGCAGACTAAGTGTCTCAAGATGCTCAGCCTGCTGCCCGAGTCTTGGCTGCAATTTATAAGCGGACTCAGCTTGCCACAAAACCAAAGTCAATGGACATTGGAGTGGATTCGCACCAAGATTCTGGAAGAAGATTTTCGTCGCTACACACTGCGCGGAGGTGATGACAGCACCAGCGGCTATGCCATGCAAGGGACATGGAGGGATCGAGGGCGTGGCAATCGCGGTCGCTCTTACTACAGCCAAGGTGGTCGCGGGACTTGGAACCAGCGGGGGCGTGGTGGCGCTGGTGCAAGAGGAAGAGGTGGTCACTCCAACAATGACAACAGTGAACAACGCTTGAGGGGAGAGTGCTGGTATTGCAAGGAAGAAGGGCATCCATGGTTTCGCTGCTCTACCAAGCCCGACTGGTGGACCCCTTGGAACCAATCGCAAAAGGGGAATGGAGGAAAGCAACCACGTGGAGGTGCCAACATGGTAGCTGATCCTGCTGAAGAAACCTCCAAGGATGACAGAGGAATGGGAAATGAGGAGAGGAATGCTGGACAGTTCTACCATGTGTGTGACAAAGATGACAGTGGCACAGCTGTTGCAAGGGCTGGAGAGGAATTGCACCCGCTTGACATGTGGGTCATGGACTCTGGTGCTGCATGGACAATGATACCACGCAAGGATTTGCTGGATGCTGTGCGAGCGCCTCCAATCTCTGAAGTGCGCTCAGCATCCGGACATGCAGTGAAGGTCGCTGGAGCTGGTCGAGCTGCATTCAGAGCACCTGATGGTGGACTGGTTGTGCTGAAGAATGTGTTACTCGTACCGGGGCTGAAGGCCAATCTGATATCCCTGTCCTCGCGCTTCCTTGCTTCCCAAATCCCCGCTTCCCGCTTTTGAAAGCACGTCCGCATCTCACCTTCACGTGCTGCAGCATCTCGCTGTCCCTCGCTTCCTTCCACCCGCTTTCACCCGCGTCCCGCTATCGCTTGCTCCCCGAATCCCGCTTTCCCATGCTCCTCGCATTACCTTGCTCCCCGCATTCCCATGCTCCTCACATTCCCACGCTTCCTTCACTCCCATTTTCCCCGCATTCCCTTGCTCCCCGCGTTCCCATGTTCCCCGCATTCCCATGTTTCCCGCATTCCCTTGCTTCCTGTATTCCCATGTTCCCCGCATTCCCATGCTCCCCGCATTCCCTTGCTCCCGCATTCCCTTGCTCCCCGGATCCCGCTTTCCCATGCTCCCCACATTCCCATGTTCCCTGCATTCCCTTGCTCCCCGCACCCCGCTTTCCCATCCTCCCCGCATTCCCATGTTCCCCGCATTCCCCTGCTCCCCGCATCCCGCTTTCCCATGCTCTCCGCATTCCCTTGCTCCCCGCATTCCCATGCTCCACGCATTTCCTTGCTCCCCACATCCCGCATTCCCGTGCTCCCCGCATTTCCTTGCTCCCCGCATCCAGCATTCCCATGCTCCTCGCATTCCCATGCTCCCCGCATTCCCGTGTTCCCCGCATTCCCTTGCTCCCCGCATCCCGCTTTCCCATGCTCCCCGCATTCCCATGTTCCCCGCATTCCCTTGCTCCCCGCACCCCGCTTTCCCATCCTCTCCGCATTCCCATGCTCCCCGCATTCTCATGCTCCCCGTATTCCCTTGCTCCCCGCACCCCGCTTTCCCATCCTCCCCGCATTCCCATGTTCCCCGCATTCCCTTGCTCCCCGCACCCCACTTTCCCATGCTCCCCGCATTCCCATTTTCCCCGCATTCCCTTGCTCCCCGCATCCCGCTTTCCCATGCTCTCCGCATTCCCATGCTCCCGGCATTCTCATGCTCCCCGCATTCCTTGTTCCCCGCATCCCGCTTTCTCGTGCTCCCCGCATTCACATGCTTCCCGCATTCCCATGCTCCCCACATTCCCTTGCGTCCCCCACCCCGCTTGCTCTCGCTAATCCGCCGCTGCCTCTCTCCCCTGTTTCCCGCCACCCGCTTCCCCTAGATTCCGGTATGCCGCGTTCCCCCAGCTTCCGGTATGCCGCGTTCCCCCGCTTCCTGTTTCTGCCATTCCCCCCATTTCACATCCCACTTTCCCCTGGTAGCGACTAGCGCTTCCCGCTTCACCTCGCGGACCGCTTCCCGCTTTCCCTTGCGGGTCTCTTCCCACTTTCCCACGTTGTAACGTGTTACCCGCTTTTTCGCGCGCCGCAATCCCCTGCCTTCTCATTGAATGAAAACAGATAAAGGTTCAAGGCGCAGCAGCAGGGAAGAAAGCGAGGCCGCAGGGATGGGGAAGACAACAGGTAGTAGCGAGGGGGAGAGGCGAGAGGGGAGGGAGAGGGGCACGAGAGCAGTGCAGGGGGGAAGGCGTGAGAGCAGGGAGGGAGTGAGGCATGAGAGCAAGGAGGGAGTGAGGCACGAGAGCAGGGAGGGAGTGAGGCATGAGAGCAGGGAGAGAGTGAGGCATGAGAGCAGGCGTGAGTGCAGGGGAGGGGGAGAGGCATAAGAGTAGGGGAGGGAGAGAGATGGGAGAGCATTGAGGTATGAGGTGCGTGATAGGGGGGGATGTGGGAAGGCGCAAGAGCCATGGAGGGAGCGAGAGGTGAGAGAAGAGAAGGGAAAGAGGGGTACGGGTAGGGGAGTGGGGAAAGGGAGAATGCAGCCTGGAGGAGATGGGGAGGGGAAGAGGCGTGAGGGCGGGGGAGGAAGAGGCGTGAGGGGCATGGGAGGGGGAGAGGGTGTTAGGGTAGGGGAGGGGGAGTGGCGTGAGTGCAGGGGATTGGGGGAAGATGGAGTGCAGTGAGGGTAGGGGGGTAGGAGTGAGAGCAGAGGAGCGGGAGAGGCGTGAGGGCGTGAGAGGCAGGGACAGCTGGAGGAGATGGGGAGGGAAAGAGGCATGAGGAGAGGGGAGGCAGATAGGCATGAGGGCAGGGGAGAGGGAGATGCATGAGGGCAGGGGAGGGGGAGAGGCATGAGGACAGAGGAGGGGGAGTGGCATGAATCAGGGGAGGGGGAGAAGGCAGTAAGTGTGAGCGGGACCCCGGCAGGACAGGCAGTAAACACTATATAACTAACCCCTCTCAACCCCTCGCCCCCCCACTAACGTATGCTCCCATCTCTTTCTCCCCCCCCTCCCCCCCCCCTTCCCCCCCTCCCCTCCTCCCCGCTCTCTCACAGCCTACCGGGTGGCACATGATTGCCAGTCAAGCTCACCTTGGACAACCTCTCCGTTAAAAGCCAGACTTCACCCCAAACCTATCCACTCACTCCCCCGTGCATCTCTCAACAAACCACATTCTGTGGAAGATCTCCGTGCGGCCACGCATTCAGACATTCAGCCGTTATTGGCAAATGCTAACCATGTCTCTTCTCTAGCATCATCTACAACGGCTGCAGAAAATGGAAATCATGTAACCCTACATATGTGAACGGCACCTTGTAACTGAGTTGGTCCAGGGTCGTAAAGCCAACTTGAATTTTGGGGTCGCAATTTCTCTCCCTCAAGTTTGTTACATTCTTCCTGCCACATATATATGCGACCTTTTCAGGTTATGAACGGCTTGTCGGTCGTTCTGTAAGAGTACATGAACTTGGCACCAATTTTGGCAACAAGAGTAGCTTTTTATCTTTAGCATAAAGTCATATTAGTCTAGATACATTCAGAAAGTCAAGTTCCCATGGAAAGCGATTTAATCTACTGAACAAATCCAAGACACACACTGAGATATATCGAAAACGTTTTAGCATATATAGTAACAAGTGTTGGTTACAACACCTCCATCCAATCACCAAGAAGGGCGTAGTCCTATGGAATCGGTGCCAAACATGGCTTTATGAAATTTTTGAATACCGAACTGAACCGAATTGAATCGCAAATTACAGCGTGCTATAGAGCGCGCGGATTCTGGGATCCAAAATTTCAGGTCCTATTTGCTTGATATTCGGGTCTGTAGAAACACGCCCCTATTCACAAAATGACGTGCTGACCAATCACACACCCCCGCCCCCTACCAAACCTGCAACTGAACCCAACAAAATTTATTCATCCAACTCAGCCCCTGCACCTCGTCCAACCAATCAAAATCTGCCAAGCGGTTCCAGAGCGGCTAATCCAGCTCAACCACCTGCTCGCCCCAACCACCCAGCCCACCACGCTGCACCCCACATGCCAGCACTCCAGCCCACCACACACTTCTGATCCCTTCCTTACTTGCCCCCTTGCGCCCTCTCATGCCTTCCAGCTAGACGTTACTTAAAAATAATAGCCCTCGGCAGTTCTATCTGCATCAGTTTCAGCTCCCCCTCTCGCCTTCGCGCCCCCTAGTGAGCAGCTCCTTCCTCTCCCACAGGCTTCGATTACCACGGTCGTTCTTAGTGTGCCCTATGCTGAGGATCTCGTTTCACGATGGTCTATCATTTCAAGCAGCTCATAGATGACTATTCTTGTTCACCCATGTCATTCTTATCTGCATGTTCATGAGCTAATGCGCCATTGGGGTTGAAGGCATTTGTTACTTGACGTATCAATCAAACTAATGATTCGCTTGTGTCCTTACGATGCTTGTCTTTATCGCAGCTAGCTATGTAACTCTGTCCAACATCGAGATAATTCCCCATGTAAGTCCAATTGTAAGTCTCGCTGGTCATTTGATCGTCGGACTAATTTCACAACAATGTCTTGTATGACACGCTGAAATTTTTAGCCTACCACGAGCTATTTCCTCCGGTAAGCCGGCTTTTGTAATTGCTGTCGTATGGAATATAACAAATTTGATTACAATGTTTGAACCTAATGTGCAGGACTCAATATCCAGCGTCGCGCTACTTCATTGTTGTAAGCATTGTCCTTATTGTTGGTGATTTCGACATTGGATTAATCTTGAGATATCAAGTTCTGAACGTAACGTGCAGGAATTGCAATCCAGTTTCAAGAATTGCTGCTCCTGGTGTGCCGCCGCTCAGTTTCTCTTTGTGTTAGTGCGGGACCCACATAGGGGTGCTGGTAGGCAAGGGCGGTTGGGCCATAGTGGTTGAGTACTGTGGTGTAGATGTTTTTTTTATATATAAAATAATTTGGTTGTTGCATTATAAGTAAATCCAAACAAGGCATGCCCTAATTGTACTGAACCATGCCCGAAAGGGTACTGCAGCCTGCAAAAACGGATCCATGAAAAACACTGCCAAACGTTTGCAACAAATCATGTTGAATACTAAAAATGGTGAGCATAAACTTCTCTATGCATTTACATGTTCACTGCAGAAGTTGTAGAAAGAACACTGCCATGCATTTGTAAACGAACCACGGAGATTACCGAAAAGACACCTCTAAGCATTCGCTGTCGTGAACCAAAAAGTGTTTCGGGAAATGTTGTCAAAGCATTCGCCAAGTGTTCTAATCTAAGTCCGCCAGGTATTTTCACCCACATGTTCGCAAAACATTTGCAAAGCATTTGCGCGAATGCTACGCAATCGTTTTGCGAGCATACGTTTTTTGCGATGAATGCAAACATTTCTTTGTAGCCCCTTCTGCAACCAGAGAGTCTCTAAAGTGTTGCCGCCCGGTAGTTGCCCTTGATGGAACGTTCTTGCTTTCTGCTCAACGTGCAATGCTCCTCATCGCAACTTCATTGGATGGTAACAACAACATCATTGTTCTCGCCTTTGCACTGGTTGAAGGTGAGATTTTTTGTAGCTGGAGGTGGTTTTTGGAGTGCTTCAAAAGCCACTTTCCTGACTGGTTAGGCGAGGATGATGCGTCTGTGATTAGTGACAGGGACAAAGGTCTTGTTCCTGCTGTGAAGGAAGTCTTCCCCTCACTCCCGCACTGCTTTTGTTCGTGGCACTTGGAGCAGAACTTGACAAGGTTCGGTCCAAATGCCGTTGACCTATTTAGAAAACTCCAAGACTGCAGGTCAGAAAAGAAGTGGGAGACCTATGTGAAGGTGGCTAGAGAACGGTTTCCAAACTTCGCTGCGTACCTACTGGGTACACCGAGTGTTCACACCGACTTCCCACGCAACAGTCAGGGGACAAGACGTGTACGAAGGCGTGTGCCAACAACAGGCAGCCTGGGATCAACCAGAAATCAGCCAACTTCTCATGAACCCTCGGAGCAATCACCACAGTCTGGGCGGCAGCAGCAACTGGCCAGCAGCCACGCCGACAGCAGGGTCGCCTCCAGCGGCGGGGCCAACAGCAGCGGCGGCATGGGCAGCAGCAGCAACCGGGAAAGAGAGGGCAGCAGACTCGGCTGTCTGAGCAGCAGCAGCAGCAGCAGCAGCAGCAGGGCCAGCAGCAGCAGCCGGGGCAGAGTGGGCAGCAGGCAGGGCAGTCTGAGCAGCAGCAGCAGCAGCAGCAGCAACAGCAGCAGCAGCAGCAGCAGCAGCAGCAGCAGCAGCAGCAGCAGCAGCAGCAGCAGCAGCAGCAGCAGCAGCAGCAGCAGCAGCAGCAGCAGCAGCAGCAGCAGCAGCAGCAGCAGCAGCAGCAGCAGCAGCAGCAGCAGCAGCAGCAGAAGCAGCAGCAGCAGCAGCAGCAGCAGCAGCAGCAGCAGCAGCAGCAGCAACAGCAGCAGCAGCAGCAGCAGCAGCAGCAGCAGCAGCATCAGCAGCAGCAGCAGCAGCAGCAGCAGCAGCAGCAGCAGCAGCAGGGCCAACAGCAGCAGGGACAGCAGCAGCAGCAAGGCCAGCAACAGCAGGGCCAGGGTTCACATCAGTGGCACGGACAGCAGGAGCAGCAGAGTGGCCAGCAAGCAGGGCTATTTTGGCAGCAGCAGCGCCAAGGTGGGCAGCAGCAACAACAGTTGCGACAGCAGCACCAGCAAAAACAGGGTGGGCAGTGGGGAGGGCTGTTTGGGCAGCAGCGGCAGGGTCAGGGGCAGCAGGGCCAAGGTGGGCCGCAGCAGCAGCAGGGGCAGCAGCAGCAGGTCCCGGGTGGACAGCAGCAGCATGGACAGCTGCAGCTGCATGGCCAGCAGCAGCAGGGTCAGCGTACGCAGTGGCAGCAGGGACAGCAGCAACATCAGCAGCGGGGTGGGCAGCAGGGAGGGCTGTTTGGGCAACAACAGCAGGGTCAGCGTAGGCAGCAGGGTGAGCAGCAGCAGCAGTGGGGTGGGAAACAGGGAGGACTGTTAAGCCAGCAGCAGCAGCATGGTGGGAAGCAGGCAGGGTTGTTTGAGCAGCAGCAGCAGGGACGACAGCAGCAGCGCCAGGGTGGGCAGCAGCAGCAGGGTCAGGGCCAGCAGAACCAGGGCGGGCAGCAACAGCAGCAGGGTCAGGGGCAGCAGAATCAGGGTGGGCAGCCGCAGCAGCAGGGTCAGGGTCAGCAGAACCAGGGTGGGCAGCAGCAGTAGGGTCAGCAGCAGCAGGGTCAGGGGCAGCAGAACCAGGGTGGGTAGCAGCAGCAGGGTCAGCAGCAGCAGGGTCAGGGGCAGCAGAACCAGGGCGGGCAGCAACAGCAGCAGCGGGGAGTAAGTATGACGTGACTACATATGGAAATACTAGCACCAGCAGCAGCAAGAGAGTGGGCAGCAGGCAGGGCTGTTTGGACAGCAGCAGCAACAGAGAGGGGCAGCAGGCAGGGCTGTTTGGACAGCAGCAGCAGGGCCAGGGATGAGGGCCATGTTGGGCAGCAGCAACAGGGTCAGGGATGGCAGCAGGGAGGGCCGTTCCAGCAAAAACAGCTGGACCTTCCCCACCACTGCCTCATTATAGTTCCTTCCCCCAACCACCTGCCTCAACTACCTTTGTTTTTTCACTTCCATCACCAAGTTCCGCCAGTCTCCTTCCCCAAACCCCACCTTCATGCGTTTCCAGGAAGATGATGAAGCCTTTCTTGAGTTCACTTTCCTTTAACTCCCCTCTACATTGCCAGCCCCCCGCCGCGCCTTCTCACTTGACTGATCTGCCTTCCGAGACAGCCCCTCTCTACCTGTTTGATCCGCTTTAAGCCACGATCTCCACCCCCTCCCATGCCTCTTCTCCCACATGCTGATTTTGTCACCTAGCCTTATTAACCACCCCCTTTTTCTCTCCCCTTTAACTCGCTACAATGTTGGGAACCTAAATGTGGGTAGTCATAAAAAATAAAGGAGTTGCTAATGCAGCCAATATTGTAGTGGTGGCCAGCGGAAGTTGTATATGTACTTGTTACCAGATGGAAACATCATATAGATCCCACCCACATCCCGATTTTTCGCACCCCATTCTATCGACCTACTGATGGGCCCTCTATGCTACACACTGCTTTAACAATGATTTACGTTGGGCTCACTGTTGGTGCATATTCGTTTGCACGTCATCCTGTCGTCTGTTCGCATCATTTCGCTGCATGTGTTTTGTGTGCTACGTTGTTTGTGTGGTTTGTTGGGTTTGCATGTCTTTGCATGTTCATCTTGTGCTTGTGCAGATGTGCTTGGATTGTACATCAGATCGAGCGCATTCCAACGAGCCAAGAATTGTTGGAATCGGAGCACATATGAAGAAGTTACGAAGAAATGTTTGATGGATTTACACTGAGGGAAAAAACCGTCCGGATGTTTGGCACGAAGTTGGGTTTTTAGGCTTTAAGACTACTGTATTACAACTCATTGGAAGTCCTTGGCAGCTGCTACACCAAAGTTGGAGAGCCCTAAAACGAGGAGGGACCAGCATGTGTGGGACTTTTGTCCCCACCTTGCAGCTGCAGCACCTGGGGTTTGGAGACCAACCTGGCACAGTGTGAATTTTGTCTTGCCAGGCTGGCTGAACCTGAGGATGGGGAGTCAAGACTTTGACTCTTGTCATGTTCTTGACCAAGGGCCTCCAGGGTCCTTCCCTTTCATCCTTCCCTTCCCACCCCACCTTCCAACTATGCTTCAATGCCTTTTCCATCATGTCTCTGAACTTGTAAGCTTCTATCATAGTGACTCTGAGGACTGTCAATTTCTCCTAGGGCAGATTATCCCCCAGTGCGCCAAAAGCCATAGCTCACACGATAAGCTACGGAATCGAGTGATTCAACTTTCAGAAAAAAACTGACGCTGCAAGCTACAACATATCCGATTTTCAGATCGTTTCATTGATTGGATTTTTGGATATAGCTTTTCGAAGGTCGCGAGTTTTCTGGGCGTCATAACGAAGTGCTGCAGAAATTTCCAAGGAGCCATTGAATCATCTGCTTATAGCCTTCTCTAACCAACACTCACAACCCCCGTAAGATGCCACTCCATACTTACAATAGTTGGTTTCCGCGTTGAATTTAATAACTATCTTTTACAATCGAAGTTGTATCTCATATATTAATTAATGGGAACCTGTCATGAATGGCACGAACCATTTTTCGTGTTGTGAGACTATCCTTATTTGTGCCACCCTGAGAGTACCCTTTCTCTCTCTCTCTCTCTCTCTCTCTCTCTCTCTCTCTCTCTCTCTCTCTCTCTCTCTCTCTCTCTCTCTCTCTCTCTCTCTCTCTCTTTCTCTCTCCCTCTCTCTCACTCTCTCCCTCTCGTTCGCTCTCTCTCTCAATCTTGCACACTCTCTCTCTCTCACTCTCTCCCTCTCGCTCTCTCTCTCTCTCTCTCTCTTTCTCTCTCTCTCTCTCAACCTCTCTCTCTCTCTCTCTCTCTCTCTCTCTCTCTCTCTCTCTCTCTCTCTCTCTCTCTCTCTCTCTCTATTTCTCTCCCCCCCCCCTCTCTCTCTCCCCCCCCCCTTCCCCCCCACATCGTAACTCTCTTTCCCCATCTGTTGCAATATTTTAGTAATTTAGTTCGACGTGTACCGAGGTAGCTTGAATAGCAAGATTTATATATATGCTTTATGATATGCTGGAAATATGGCAAGGTACACAACCGTGGGCAGTGGTACTCAATGACATAGGCCTCCCTTTCTCCGAATCTCAGGAAAGAGTATGGCAGGAGCACCATGAGCATATTGAGTTTGAAGGACAGGAGAGGGACTTAGGTAGCAAAGAGGATAGGGGAGTGTTCCGCATGGGCATCTATAATCTTTCGCTTGCAACCCCGCTCGGTCGTATGTGATGACGTATGTCATGCGCACATCGCCATGTGGTCCAAGTCATCCGATTTGAATTGTCGCCTTCACTTAGTACACTCCTCTATTCACCCCAAAGATTTGTAACCTTACCTATTTTTTGAATGCCAGTTTGAGAGTGTCTGAACGATTTTGCGGGCAATCAGAATTATATTTCTAAGAAGCATTTTTATTTAAAACCTTGGTAAAAAAAACAAAATTTCTTGTGGAAGTTACGCAGGGAAATTCTTCAAAAACATTAATCATTGAAGGAAACCTTTCATTTTGTGAATATGATGTAAACAACAACAGCAGTAGCACTAGTCTGAACTGGTAGACAATTTTACAGAGCGTACCGATTTTTCCTTCTGAAGTACGGTAACGTAGAAACCCGTGGGTATTGCCTGCCGAATCACACGTCACAGGACTTTCTGTGCGAAACGCACCCAACGAAAACCTGGCGTGAAAGTTATGTTCCCAATTTCTGGTAGATTCTGTTTCGGATTTTGGTTTAGGGCACTGTAGTGTGCGACCCTTTGCAACGCACGCTGAGCCGCTGCTTTTGTTTTTTTCAGCGCCCGTCATTTTTTGTACAGTTGATTTTTCGCCTATTTCCTGCGATTTCGACCTTGTCCATGGAAGTAAGGCAGATGTCCATGAAAGTAGGGACGGAGTCCACGGGAGAAGCGAAAGGTTGATGTGGTGTCCGTGAAAGTAGGGGCTGTCCACGAAAGTATGAAAATATTTGTGGGCAGTTCGCGGCAGTAATTTTCCCGAAGAAGAAGCTTGGCTTCCCTCACGAACAGGGGAGCCACATCTTCCATTGCTTCTCAGATTCATTCTTGGAGCAGGGGGACACCCACTTGCGGCGGAAACCATTCCGCCCGTCATTATTGAAAAACGTGCGGCAAAAACGTCCACAAGGTATGTGCTCCTATGCCCAGATCTGGGCATAGGAGGGGTTTAGAGTGTGCTGGTGGTAAGCAATCAGAGAATAGAAAATGCAAATGAGACTAGGTGGCAGGTCCCTCGGACCTGCAAGAATGTGAAGGAGCTTGTCTCCTTTACAGCAAACTCCTCTTCAAATCGAATCACAATCTGCGAATTTTTTGTTACTAAAAAAATGTTCATGTCACGATCGAATGCGATCGATTCGACGTTTCTCAGTTGTTCATCATTGGTCAGTCATTAACAGCTCAGATTTGTGCGGCCTGACACCACCTGACACGTCTCCGTCCTACCAATCGAACGTTCTTCGAGGGACTATATACACTCTGAGGGCGCGTCTCCAGCAGCAAGCTTGTTATGAAATATCGTATCAAATCTACATAGGTACTTGGAGACGTGCCTAGTTGTTCCCCTGAGGGCAATGATCAAACGACCAAAAGTATTTCTACTTTAGAGTATTTAGTACCAGGAATTTCATGAAGTACTGATTTGAAACGCACAAGAATTTGCGTTTCGTCATTCATACCTCACTGCGTTTCGAATTTGGGTTTGCTCCTACTGAACAATGTACTCTAGAAATAAGCCCCAAGTGTGAGAGGACCCTGATGTTTAGGAATGATGTTTCTGCTACCCATTTTAGCAACCCCGCAAATGTAGGGTATAAGCAGGGTTGCGGGCTGGGAAGGGTAGTCTAAGCATTGTAGCGGGTATTAGGGGGCCAAGTCAAGATTTTCGAGATTCTGCCCCCACTCTGGGCTGTGTAAGGGCACTGATTGGCCCTTGGTAAAAAAATTATCTGCACGCTGTATGTTGGGGTGGACCGTGGAGGTCGTGTGAGGGAGGTGATTGGCCCTTCGCCAAATCTGGGGCTCGGTGTGTGCTGCTGAGGGCTGTGTGAGGGCAATTGCTGGCCCTTCGCCAAATTTGCTTGATGTGTGCCTGCCTGCCTTGGCTCTCAGTGGAGGAAGAAGTTCCCCCCTCCGCCCCTGCAATCTCGTTGCATCCGTCTCTGCCGGCTCCTCCCCCCTTCCCCCCCAACTGATAATGTCGTGTCCTGCCCATTCCCAAATTTCATCCCCAACTTGCTACGAATTCCCCCACGCCCAAAAAACAAGACTTGAATCCACACCATTCATAAACAATACCATGCATAGAAACTTTGAGAAATCCGGAATTTGTTTTGAGGTGATGGCCCATGACATTTTTTGCAAGACCCTGAAATTCAGCTCATTCATATCGTGGGGCGTGATCCCTGCCCCCCCACCCACCCTACCCCCTTCGTCTAACCGCTTTGGAAAAAGGCTAGCGACAGTTTGGGCATGCTTACGACCGTTGTTGAATTCGACCCTGATTGCGTTCTGTGAACCCTGGGAATTTCAGGGTTTCGGGTTTCTGAACACTGACAGATCAGGGTTTGGAATTTTCCAAAACAGAGCCCTCAGGGTATTTTTTGTTTTCTAGTTGACAGCTCAGTCTGGTTTTCTTTTAAGCGCCAGCCCTGGTTGGGGCTCGAAATCCGCTATTACATGTATCAGGGTCAGTCCCAAATACGACACTGGAAAAACAGGCCTCATTACAGTAGGCACGCTGATCGATCACGGTTCACTTCTTAAAAAACATCGAAATTTCAGGCCCGTGCTTAAAAAAAATCCTGTCTCATCAGGGTCACCCCTAAAAAATACCCTGATTTTATACTGAATCAAGGTAAAAAGCCTGTAGTCTGAGGCCCTGGAATATACTCGTTGAAGTGCACAAACAGTTAGACTCTTCATATTCTCTTGTGTTATTATATCAACCTTGTATCCCTTTGCTACAATCAATCACTTGTTCTCACAGACCAGTATAAGGGTTCAACTCAAGACTTCCGTTGTGTTATCAATCATTCTGTCACAAGGACCTAGCCTTCTGAAAAGATCCTAGGGCTATACTCAGCTCAACACTAGAGTGTCAAGAGACTCGCTGGGGTTACCCTTAAGAAGATCCTCGGGTAAGGGCCACAAGTGCAGAGCCTGGGGGGCTATGGGTGCATTGACCCAATGTTTATAAGCCTTTTTGGCTCAGTGGTTAGTATCTGAGTTCTGACATGGTATCAGAGCATTGGTGACTCGGGTTCAATTCCCAGTGCTAGCGCTGTAGAGGCGCTCGTGTCCTCCGCCTATCCAGCGAGGGGGGGTGTCGATTGACCCGCTGAGGCTACCCTTGAGAAGATCCTCGAGGAAGGGCCACAAGTGCAGAGCCTGGGGGGCTATGGGTGCACTGACCCGCTATTATCGTATTCCCCCAGATAAAACACCCGTCAGAATTAATCACCCATGTGCGGACCTGGGTGCTTTATTAAACTGGATATTCATGTCAACTCATTCATATGTTTTATGTAGAAGTTATAGGCTAGATAGGGTTATGTTCTTAGGAGGTACAACCCCAACCCTATATCTCCCTTGTTCTTGCTTGTTTCTAATTATTCTTGTATTCTAGCATGGTATTATGAGTAGGTTAGGTCCACCCACCCTAGCCTACCGTGCCTTGCCAGCCCCTAGCGTGCTCGCCGTCCCATGCGCCTAGCCGGCCCCTAGCGCCGAGCCGGCCCCTCGCGCCTAGCCAGCCCCTAGCGTCTAGCTGGCCCCTCGCGCCTAGTTGGCCCCTCGCGTAGTCTGCCCGGCTCCTCGCTTCGCTCACTCGGCCCCTCGTGTAGCCCGCCCTTGCGCACGCCCGCCCAGCCCCTCGTGTACCTCGCCCGGCCCCTCGCGTCGCCCGCCTGGCCCCTCGCGTAGCCCGCCCGGCCCCTCGCGTAGCCCGCCCGGCCCCTCGTGCACGCGCGCCCGGCCCCTCGCGTAGCCCGCCCGGCCCTTCGTGCACGCCCGCTGCCCACACCCGACCGCCCGCTGCTTTCGCCGCCTGGACGACCTCTTTCGTCGCCGCTTCGGCCTGGTGCCGGACCTCCCTGACTGGGCCAGTCTGCTGCGTCACGGTGTGATTGTGTTTGAGTTAGATATGGATCAGCTTAGTTCTGCCTTGCATTCTCTGTATGCTGACGCTTCTACTGTGTCTGGACCTTATTACCCTATGTTCTCTAGCTTAGGCGTAGCACCTGTGTGTAGTTCATATTCCCCTGCTGCATCAAGCCTAGGACCGTTTGCTTTGTCCAGTCTAGGCTCCAGCCTCGCTCCGCCCTTGTCTGCCGCTACTGCTTCACTGTCCTTCACACTTGACTCCGGTGCCTCTACCTGCTTCTTCCGCGACCACACTGCGCTCACGCCGCTTGCCGCCCCTGCTGCCGTCGCTCTTGCTGACCCCTCTTCTGGTCCTGATGTTGCTCGTAACTACACTACCCTTCCCTGTCCAGCGGTCCCCTCGGGTTCCCTTACAGGCTTGCACATCACTTCGTTCTCCAGGAACTTAGTTGGTGTCAGATGCCTTCCTTCAGGACCTCGGCGTCACCACTACGTTTCCTGGTCACGAGCGGTTTGCTATCTGTACCGAGACCGCCTCAGGTACCCCCCTTGCAACGTTCCCACGGGACTCGCTGTCTGACCTGTTTACGCTGGACACTACTTCCCCCCCGGTTGGCGCGTCCTCCCCGTTCCCTGCGTCTACCCAGGTCGCTGCGGCTTGCTCGTGTCGGTCGCTCACTCACCCGTCGCTCCAGTGGCACCACCGCCTAGGTCACTCCGCACTCCTGTATCTACGTCACATGTCTCAGCACGGTCTCATTCTAGGTCTCCTTGCGTTGCTTCCTACCCTCCCTCTCTCGCCTGCGCTGCTGCGTACGCC